AATCCTCGGCGTCAACATATTGAGTGACGTGCAGTTTCGTGGTCACTTGGAAGAGAAGGCCAAATTGGCCTCTAAAAAGCTTGGAGTGCTCAGCAGAGCGGGACAGTATTTCATGCCGGCACAACACCTGCAACTTTACAAGGTGCAGGTTCGGCCTTACATGGAATACTGTTCCCATCTCTGGGCTGGGGCTCCCTAGTGCCAGCTCCTTCCACTTGACCGTATCCAGCGCAGAGCGGTTCGAATCGTCGATGACCGAGTTCTTTCCGATCGGCTTGACTCACTGGCACTGCGTAGAGAGAGATGTTGCATCTCTTTGCGTATTTTATCGCATCTATCACGGGGAGTGCTTCGAGGAATTATTCGGACTAATTCCAGCCGCTCAATTTCACCATCGCACATCGCGACAAAACTCGCGATACCATCCATATCATCTGGATGATTGGCGGTCCACTCCTTTTTAAAAGGCCGGCAACGCATCTGCAATTCCCCTGGTGTTGCAGTTGTTCATGGGCAGCGGTAGTCACTTACCTTCAGGTGAGCCGCATGCTCGTTTGCCCCCTCTCCTATAAAAAAAAATTCTACCTAGGCGTCTGTTTAGGTCGGTACCACCATAGCTTGCACTAATGTGTTCCGTTCTGCAAGGTAAAGAGAGCCAGTATGATTACACACTGTGAGACATTTCATCTTAGCCCTCAGAGGTGACAACGCATCTAGCTTTATAGCTTTCTTTATATGAAGGTGGTTGCAGGTGTTCATTGGCTAGAAAAGTAATATACTATTGGGTAGACTTCTTCTTCTTCACACTTTTGTTTTGTCACTTTTTTTGTAGAATATGGGTGACACACGAGCACACAGTTCATCTGATGCTTTGGCCCATAGAAATCTACATTTTTCCTCGATTAAGAATCAAAATTCAGATGCGTTGTCACCCCTGAGGACTAAGATTGAATGTCTCGTTTCCAGTAAAAAGGGTGTCCGGTTCTCTACACTCACCACACGAAACACAGCAGCATTAAGCTGCTATTTTACGCTGGTATTCTGTGAGAGCGTGGTCCTGTTCTACCCCGGTCGAGCCGATCCATTCGTGCTGCAAGCATAATATAGCTGCATCGTAGCTCTACCACGTTTTAATTCTTCAATTTTATTTACAAAAAAAAACAGCATACGCACCCATTGATGCTTGGGTGAAGTCACGTGCGACATGGTTTTTCACTATTGACTGTATAAAGTAGCTTAAAGCGATCAGCGAGCCATGGAGAGGGCTATGCTTGGAGTTCTTCTGCGTGATAGATTTCGTAGTGAGGATATCCGTAATAGAACCAGAGTAACCGACATAGCCCAACGAATTAGTAAGCCGAAGTGGCAACGGGCCGGCCATATATAGCTCGAAGAATCAACAACCGATGCGTAAAGCCGCGTATCCACCAAAAATGTTGACAACAGTTATGTTTCCAACCGTTTCCAACAAGCGTCTCCGCCGAGGGAACAAATGTTGGCAACAAGCGTATTCCTTTGATATTGCCGCGGAAAATGGAAACAAGTTTTGTTGGCAACTGTTGTGTTGGCAACAAAACTTTGGTGGAGACGCGGCTTAAGAAAGATTCTCGAGTAGCCGTTACGACGGTAAACGAAGTATAGAGAGGGGCATCTACTAGATGGAGTGACGACCTAGTAAGACATGCAGGAGTCGATGGATGAAAGTGGCTCAGGTCCCTATTTTGAGTCATTCCTGGGGGTAGATCTATGTCCAGTAGTGGACTTGTGAAGGGCTGTAATGATGATGGATGATACGGCATAAGGAATCTGCGACCTATCCAGACTCCAGGCGGTAAAATAAAAACTTTAGTACATATCACGAAAAAAAAGTTAAGATAGAATAATAATAGAAACATCAACGGTTTCACCACCTTTCGGTAATTAAATGCATGGAATAAAATTCTTTTAAAACCGACTTCAAAAAAGGAGGAGGTTCTCAATTTGACTGTATTTTTTGTGTCTTACCTCAGAACTTTTTTTTAGGTGAACTGATTATAATGATTCTTTTTTTATATTTTAAAACTGGTGCTACTTAGGTGGTCCTATATAAAAATTTGATCAGGATCTGACCAGTAGTTTTTAAGTTATCCTTAATAATATATATTTAATTTACTTCGACTACATTGATGATGTTCTCATTTTATTTATATTGAAGTCGTTCGTACAAAATTTTTAATTTTACCACTTGTCAAAGGTGTATATGAAAAGTAAGACGTTGCTGTACGTTTACGAAAACGTGCTGGCTGTAGTGAAAGGGTATAACAAGATTCTAGACGCTCTGTCCGATGAAGAACGGCTTCTCTTTAAGCCACTCATACATGTAAGTACTAAATAAACTTAAACTAAGATGACATGTCATGCTTATATTCTCTGTCCAATTTTTTTACTTTTTTTTATAGAGTATAGATGACAAACGAACATAGTCCACTTGATGGTAAGTGAATGCTGAAGCCATCTAAATTTATCCTCGATTAAGTATCAAAATACAGATGCGTTGTCACCCTTGAGGACTGAGATGGAATGCCTAGTTTCCAGTAAAAAGGGTCTTCTGTTCTCTACACTCACCATGCGAAACACAGCAGCATTATGCCGCTATTTTGCACTGGTGTTCTGTGAGAGCGTGGTATTCCCCGGTCGAGCCGACCCATTCCATTCGTGCTACAGCCAAAATATAGCTATAGCATAACTCTACCGCGCATGCAATTAGTAATCATTTTTTTTTGTGTACATCATAGAACATGCTTCAGTTGCCGATAGATCTGTTATCGTCTTTCATTATAGCTGTACTATGATATGTAATATGAATTAAAGATACAGAGTATGTCTGCGGCGAGGATATATGAGGTGAAAAAACCCCTCTTTCGTCGTTCTTGTCAAAGAAGTAAAGTTTATTTCTTTGTATTTTATATCGAATTAGCAATCCACCGCTGCTTCGCTCGGGTGGTTTATGGATCTCGACAACAGCGCCACCTATCGGGTCCCATTGTGAAACCATCTAGGGACCTACTCAAACACATCCAAACATTTCATCAATATCGTTTGAGCCGTTTGTGAGATTTAACGAGACTAACGGAAAGCAATTGATTTTTACACAAAGAGATAGAAGTTATATCAATTTGTTTAACTTATTTGTAAAACAAAATTACACCTTGTTGTAATAACAATTAGGTGATTGACTTTATCATTAATAATAATTACAGATTTATCTTAAAACTTCGTTGGTTTTACAAAGGAAACAACCAATGGGCAGGTTAACTTTTGTTTCACTTTGTTTCCAACTTCACACTTCATTTATTCACTACTACGCGTCTTTAAATATTTCACTATTCCATATCATCTCGAGAGCCGGTAGATTTAAATTAAACTAGGAGATCAGCAGTCTTTCAAACATAACATTAAAACCTGATTGTCAGGTGTGTCATCAATGGTAAACATCGCCCATGAACTAGAACACAAATAACGACCCTTAGCCTCTGGCAAACCCACTATTATTGGCTTCAGTGGCAACAATGATAACAGTGGGGCAGAATATATATATCAGTCAGGAGGATCAGTTGCCACCTTTGACAACTTGACCAGACAACATTTAAGCTCACATCCCCAGAGCTGACGGGAAGGTCTTGGAGTTGGAAGAAGAGATAAGTTGCGCTGGATGATATAGGATTATTTTAGATCTGAGGACAGGGCGAGAGCACAATTTAAATTCTTGTTAGCAAAACAATCTAAATTTGTTTATATTGAATCACTGCTGCCATCAGCAGTGCATAGAAGAATTTTTAGTCCTTCGAAGTTTTTTACTTTTTTAAATACCGTAAATTCTCAAATTAAAAAACAAAATTACATATCTTTAACATAAACTTTTTAAATTATATTAATTATTATCACATCACATCACTAATTAAATAATATCACATTGGTAACATACTAATAATAACAATCAGCCTTTTTTCATCAATAACGTCATACAGCATGACTGACCCCTTCTCTTTTACTTTTCAGACCTGCCATTTTAGAGATTCTATAAATTTTGAAACTAAAGGTGTTATTTGATTTATATTTATCTCAGGAGTTACATTTTATGATAGTTTTTAATACGACGTCCGAAAATCATAAAATAATAAATGATGACTTAATGAGAAAGGGTAGTGTGACCTTGTCAAGACGACAATAAAGCCCAACTCTTTACTGCAGTTGGGTTAATAATTTATTATTTGCTATAATAGTTTTACTAAGACAGGCATATGTCCAAGTGATCATTCATATCAGCTTGTTCAACCATTTTGAGACAACATGGACAAGGACTTTTGGTTCCAGTAGCATTCAATGTTTGAGTCTCGTCAAAAATATCATCATCGTCATCAACAACTATTGTTTCATTAGCAAAACTAGTCGAAGCACCCTCGTCTGGTATTGTAGTGTTATTATCAAAGAATGTAAGACATTCGTCTAAGTGCTGTTCTATTGGTTTGTCAATTTTAAAGCGACAACATGGACATTTTTGTTCTGTTAAAACGGACACTATATCTTTACTGCTTCCTGGTTCAATTTTAACAGGGGGTAATTTAATTTCACATGCTAAATCGTCTAAAAACGATGGCAGATAACCGAAGTCAGCATTGTTTTCTCTTGTTGCCACAGGTTCCACAAAATTACCGGATTTCCGTAAATGCTTATCGTAATTTATCTTTTTAGTTATTAATTTTACTTTATTAATATCTTCCACATCAAAAGTGTGATCAGAATTAAGTGTTTTTGTTGTTTTACTGTTTCCTGTCATTTCTACTTTTTGTATAACTGAAGCATTTGTTAATCCTGGATTTTCTTTTTTGATAAAGCTTATATCAGCTAAGTCTATGGAATAATCAACACAGTCTGTTTTAATATTAGAAAGAGTGGAATTATTTCTTTGGTTACTAACTGCGTCAAATACTTTCTCTTGTTTAATTGGTTCTAATTTTGTTAAATCTATCTTATTACTAGATATCACAGATGGAACTGTATCTACAGACCTGCCATCTTTGCACAATTTTTCTATAACTCCTTTATTCAAGCACTCATCTAAATGTCTGTTAATGTCGTCATCTTTAACTTTAATATTACAAATAGGACAATTAACAAAATTCGTTTTAGTCGTTGTTGCTATTAACTTGTGATCAGTTTTAGATTTTGAAATGTTGAAATCTTCACCATAGACATCTTTTAAAACTGTTGTTGCTACTTTTTTAAAGTAATCATCTATTTTCTTAATTTTATTTGGAGGGGAATCTATATGAATACTTTCCGATTTTTGCTTAACAGGTTTCATTACATCATTATTTGTACTATTTCTGGGTTTAGTTATTACTGTGCCTTTGGAATTTTTTTGATCATTTTTCACAGCAGGTAATTGTTTATTGGCCCATATATTTCTTACAGTTTCTATAACATTTTCTGATTGAGTTCTTTTTCTTCCGCTATCAATTAGCCCTATAAATGTAGCTGAAACCTTTTTATTGACCTGTGGACTGAATATATTTCCATTTTGTGTTATTACAATTTTACTATTTTTGACATCTATATTAGATATAACAGTTACATTATTAATGTCTTTAAGAACAGCTTGAGATGGCTTTTTAGTTTCATGGGGTGTGTTTTTAATGGCAATGGTGTTGCTGTTATTATTTACATATTTAGTTATATCTCCGTTTGACTTGGTCTTTTTCTTGTTTGCAGCGTTTTCAGGTTCTTTAATTTTTATAAATGATCCACCACACGTCCTTTGGTGAGTTTTCCACCAGTAATCTTTAGGTCCGGGTGCCCTATTTGCAGTGCGGCGAACAATACCGAAATATGGCCTCCTGCTTTGACATGGTCCATTACAGCGCCACCAATGTGTTTGATATATTTGAACCTGCAGAACAACCACAAGTAACTTTAGAATTTCAATTGAAAAAAAACATATAATCACTATATATTATAACAGCCGTAGTAGTTCAGGGGCTAAGCACTCGCTGCAAACTTTAGAATACACGAGCCACCCGGGTTCAATCGCACCAGCATCAATGAAATTGTTAATTGCAATTATAAGCGCTGATTTAGAACATGCTCGGCGGTGAAGGAAAACATCATAAGGAAACCGTAAGTTAGCCAACATGCATTAGGACAGCACAACATACATTTCCTTGCCCTAACAACCCTCTCAGAAATGAGAGAAGGAGTGTGCCCAGCAGTAGGACATATATAGGCTGTAGCTTTAACTATAATCACTATATGAACAGTAACCATATTGTGATACAATTTATAATAATATCAAAAAGAAATGAATGTAAAACTCAACAGTCTACTTGGAATCCTTAAATTACAGACCTCATCATGGAAATCATGATAAATAGTTATGTTGACTCCTGCCAATTTATTAATTCTGTGCATATGGAACTTGAAATTAGGTCCATGGCCATCGCGATCTCGATTTTTACATGTTATAAAGAGAAATGCATGGATCATTTCATGCAGTAGTGTTTCCACCAGATCTTTTCTTGGACGTAATTTTAGCAAGGGTTCACTAAGAGCAATGTCGCAAAGACCACCTCTCCCTTCATACCTGAAATCAACATAACCATTGGTGCATTAGAAGGATCCATAACCTTTAAAACATAATTTATTAAAAGTTAATATATGTTTTTCTAATATATTATGTATTGAATCGGATGTATAAATATGAATTCGGTTGCTGGAAAGCAACGAAACGTTGGGAATATAAAAAAAGTTAATTAAACGCAATAAAATCCGTAAAAATAGTTTTATTCAATGTGTAGTGTTCGCGTAAATATAAAAAATCATAATATTATGTATTTTTGAGGTTGTACTGGGTCTAATATATCAAGGTCAAAAATTTTACATATTCCCATGATTCGAGATCTCTAAAGCTGTGGTAGCTCAGCCGGTTAGCACTCGCATTAAGTTTCATAGTACGCGAGCAACCGGGGTTCGATCCCCACCAGCACCAATGAAATTGTTAATCGTAATTTAAGTGCTGATTTACCACGTGTTCGGCGGTGAAGGAAAACATTGTGACGAAACCGAAACGTCTGGAAAATAAGAAAAAAAAATATTTCAAAGAGATGTGACATTTCCTTGCCCAAAAACCTTCTCAGAAATGAGGGGAGGCCTGTGTCCAGTAGTGGGACGTATATAGGCTGTAACTTTAACTTTTAAGGTCTCTAGAGTCGGATGCTGTGGGGTGTGTATATTTGTGGTTAATTTCCGAATTACATATTTTGATACCAAATATTAATATAGTATTGATGGTGGACTCCTTTAATTCAATGCACTAGCAGCATCCAGCAGTTTTTATTGATAAGTTTATATTAACTGAAGAAATTGAAAGCCGCCCAATTCAAAATCTATACTATTTATTCATGCAGGTTCCGAATATGATCAGAGCAGTTTTTTAATATGAAAAATTTTATGGTATTCTTATGTTCCTACTTCATATTCCTGTTATCTCATTTTTTATCTATTTCTACTGGTTAGTGTATCAAGTAGGACCTCACTGGTCATACCCATTTGTGTTTCTATATTTAAGGTAGAGGAAATAAACTAAATTAAAACTATAGCCCTCACGAGAAACACAGGTTTCAGGGGAAGCCCCTCTTACCGTTCCCCCTTATGGAAAAGTATAGTTTATGGTCTAATATCATAACCTTACTTTTTCTGCACAGGATTATTAACCTAAAGTTACTTCTGCAACGGCTTCGACACTGTAGAAAGTGCAGCCCCTTCGCCCTTATGTAGCAGGCGAGACTCACAGGTGCCTGTGATTTGCTATGGCGGACCAGGGCTGCTCTTCCTCCAGACCTACAACTTTACAAAATCTCTAGGGGTAGGAAAGACAAGACTACATGGAATTGGGGCGTACCAATTCAGTTTTAGTACAGATTTCACCTATCTTATCATAAAGTCAGGTTGCCATAAATTCTGCTATGGTAGTGGTAAATATGATGCAGATGCCTATAGCCAACCCCAATAATCTCGTTGTAACCTTAAACTTTTTAAATTCAAATTCAAAATTAAGTTTTTAATTCTTCAATACATTACTAAGCAACAACTTCAACTTTTTTGTAGTTTTTAGTGTCAAATGTTTGTCAGATGATGCATTTTTTGTTTAATTTTTTTTAAAGAACGAAATCATGTTTTTTTTTCCAAGTATCAAGCATTTTAATTATTTTGCCCAAGGCTATTTTCAACATTCATACAAAATTACACATGTCAAAATGATTGTTGATACTACTTACGAACAAATACCAGCACATGAATACATTCTTTTACTCCATCGCACTACAGCTCTGCTGGCTAATTTGGCCCAAAAGAATAATTTATCAAAATGTATAAACAAGGAATGTACATTTGGAGTTGGATCAACTAACTCTAGTTCTGGATCAGCTAAATTCATTTTAATACGTTTAAATTATAATTTTAAGCATACTTTAGACATTAACTGTAATTATAATTCAGTAATCATATTAGAAAACACAAAACAATTAACATAACAGTACTAAAAAGGTTGTTGTATAAAAATCCGCAATAAATGTCAAAGTGTCAAACTAACAATGACAGAAAACAGAATGACAGTGACAGAGTGTAGGCTTGGATAAAAATATCGATATATCGAAATCCCTATATTTTCCACTGACTTTAGGTATATATCTCTATGATATTTTCTCATAAAAATATATATCGTCGATATTTTTAATATAATATATCGATTTTCAATATTTATTTTATAGTATCGAATCCATACCAATTCCGATATATTTTAAAATGTTGTATTAGTGAACAAAATAAAGCAACAAAAGCAGCTGCAAAAGTATTTATGTGCTGTGGTCGTTGTTATTCGTCATTCAACCGTCAGTAATAAAATTGTGGAGCTTATCTTAGTACATCATGCAAAACATGACGATATATCGATATTTTTCATGCGATATACAAAGTAGCGCCACAATGGTGACTTTAATTAACACACATATACGTTTTCACATTTTCGTTTTATGAAGAAATTACATTTCCATTAAACGTTATTAGTTACGGATTTATTTGAAATTTAAGAAAATAGCATCTTAGAGCAACCTGTAATTAGAGAACTGTCGTGCAGCGGCAGCGGTCATTTGCCGAGGCTACAGATTAAAACATCGCATCATTGAAATTAAAACGAATAAGCAATACTATTGAAGGAAAGAGGCATCCTTTGTCAGCGAGCGGGTGGCCCAGGCGACGCGCGTCCTCCCATGCCGCCGCACTGAAATTGAATTCTTTTTTTGCTTTTCCAGTGTTAGCCGATCTCGTGTCCTTGACACACTTCTTCACAGTAGTGCGCAAAATTACGTCGACTAATATTTTTGAGAACATTTCCCCGAAAAAGACGCTTACCTATTGTTCTATTTATTAATTTATGTTTAATTACGATATTAATTAGATTATGGTACTGCGATTAAGACGCTTTGTTTTGTTTTCGTCTAGTAGGTACGTTTACATCTCTTGTGATACGGACGCTTTTATTTGTGTTATTAGTGCTTGTGTAAACCTGTGATTGTAATGGCAAATATACATCCGAACTACACAGCACCTGAATATGAGGACATGATCCTAATTTACAGAGCATGTCGTAAAAATGCCGCCCTTGTGATAAGGATATATCGCGAAAGATATGACTGTTCAAGACAATGCCCTACTCATCCTCGCACTATTGTAGGAGCTCTTCAGCGCATCTGCGAAAACTGGCCTGTGGATCCTAGGTCTCAACGCCCTGATCGACCGCCTACACGACAAAACCCAATCCAGTTAACTGAAAATGTGATACAATATTTCGAAGACCAACCCAAAACTAGACTTCACCAAAGGGCTAGACATTTTAGAGTCCATCACAGAACCTTCCATAAGATATTAAAGCGCGAAAAGTGACACCCGTTCAAGTTTAGAAAAGTACATACTCTGCTATCGCGTGATAAATTAATAGAATAGAATAGAATAGAGTAGAATAGAATATTTTTATTCAATATTGATTTTTACATTATACTTATTGAAAGTCATTTTTTATTTACCACTGGTTCGAAAAATACCTCTGTCCTAGGAAGAACCAGCAAGAAACCCAGCGCGACTTTTTTTTTCAAACATATGTCACTTAACAATAATTTTGTTTATACAATTTTTAAACGATTTTTCATAGAACCAGCATGGTGACGATCACCTTATTCCCAGGGGTTATTTTCATTCATATATTCCTTGATATTATAATAACCCTTTTTGTACAGTTTTTCTTTAATAATAATTTTAAACTTGTTTATTGACAAACTTTGAATATGTTCTGGGATTTTGTTGTAAAAGCGTATACATTGCCCCATAAATGAATTACTGATTCTGTGGAATCTAGTAACTGGCATTACAAGCTTATGTTTGTTCCTAGTGTTTAAAGTATGCACATCCTTATTCTTATTAAAGCTATTTATGTTTTTATGCACATACATTACATTCTCATAAATATATTGCGATGCCAAAGTTAATATATTTATTTCTTTAAATTTTTCTCTGAGGGACTCTTTACAATTTAGGTTATAAATCGCCCGAACGGCTCTCTTTTGCAAAACAAATATAGCTTCAATATCAGTCGCATTACCCCACAGCAAAATTCCATAAGACATTACGCTACGAAAGTAACTAAAATACACTAATCTAGCTGTCTCAACATCTGTGAGACTTCTAGTCTTTCTTACAGCATATGCTGCAGAACTAAGTCTGCTTGCTAATTTAGATATATGGGGGCCCCATTGAAGTTTCGCGTCAATAGTAATACCAAGAAAAACAGTGGTATCCACAAGACTCAACTCCCCATTTAACAGCACATTGGTATTCGAATGTTTTACATTAGGTATTGTAAATTTAATACACTTTGTCTTATTGCCGTTTAAAAGCATATTGTTGGCGTTAAACCAATGTACTAATTTCGATAGAGCATTATTTACATCGTCATAATTAATTAACTGCCGTTTGAGTTTGAAAATTAAAAAGATATCGTCAGCAAATAATACTATATCTTGATTGTCCCTTACAAGATAAGGTAAGTCATTAATATAGATTAAAAACAGGAATGGGCCAAGAATCGAGCCCTGAGGAACACCCATTGACACTACTGATTCGGAGGAACCTTTACCATTAATCACTACTTTTTGAATTCTGTTACATAAATATGAAGTAATAAGTCTAAGCGCTAAATATTTTACACCGTAATGTTGTAGTTTCCTGATTAATGTCTCATGAGGAACACAATCGAAAGCCTTGGAAAGATCACAGAAAATACCTAAGGCATCATGTGTTCCAGGCATTAAAAATATATGTCATAAGCTCAACACCGGCGTCAGACGTCAAGCGACCCCTTGTAAAACCAAATTGGTTTTTATGAAGTAATTTTTTTTTAAAATTATTTTTTCAAAAATTTTACTGAGAGTTGGTAGTACAGAAATAGGTCTAAAATTAGCGGGGTCCAATGTACCACCAGATTTAAATAAAGGTATTACTTTACTATACTTCATTAAATCAGGAAACACACCAGAATCGATACAAGTATTAAGGATAATAGCAAGATGTGGTGCAATTAAATCTAATATGGACGCAATAACTGTAACGGAAATCCCCCACAAATCTGCGGTCTTCTTAAAATCAATAGTTTTGAAGTATTTTACAACATCTTGCGATAGTACTTTTCAAATCTAAATTCTTTTAAACAGGTATTAACATTCTGTTTGAGTAATGACTCGGCGACAGTTGGAGAAGTATTCAATGACTCAGTTGTCAAGATAGGAATATCTGTGAAATATTTCTCAAACACCGCTGCGACTTCTTGATTTGATTTAGTTAATTCATTGTTAATTTTTAATTGATAGTTTGAGTTACGAGGTTTGTCTTTAGCGGTTTCGTTATTAATTATACTCCACGTCATTTTAGTTTTATTCTTAGCCGTCTTAATTTTGTTGCTAATATGTAACGATTTGGCTGTGGAGCAAAATCTTTTAAATATTTTAGAATAATTTTTGACATATTCTTTAAAAGCATCGGAAAGATTATATGATCTTTCATGGTAAAGGTCATATAACCTTCGTCTGCTTTTATGAATTACTACTGTCGCCCACTCATTAAATGCCTTGCGACTGTTTCTGGAAAATGTTTTAGAAGTAAATGTTTTTTAAATTCATTGCTTATAAGGATAAATAATTCTCCATATAAATAGTCTGCATTGTACTTATAAGAAAGTGAAGGATGGTTTTTTACCATATTACTTCTAAATCTCTCCAGGCGTTTTGCATTAATAAGAACAAACACACTTTTCTCAATTACCTGTTTTTTGTGCATATAAGTTAATGAAACCAGTTGTCCACAGTGATCTGAACTAAGTTTTTGGATTATTATTTTGTTGATTGGTACAACACCTGCAAAAATATTATCAATACAAGTTGCACAACACCCTGCAATACGTGTAGCTTCAAAGAATAAATTATCAAGATTATAGGATTTGAACAAAGAGCAAGATTTAATACTGATGGAAGAAGTTTCCAGGAGATTGATATTAAAGTCTCCACACACTACAAGAGATTTATTCTGTTTATTAAGCTTAAGTAAAACTTCTTCCATAACCTTTTCATAAGTATCATAATTTGAACACGGGGGTCTGTAAACACTGACAACGATAAGGTGCTCAAGCTCAACGCATGCCATTTCTACAGTACGCTCAACAGAAAGGCTCACAATTTCTTTACGTTCTTTACATGATAAGAATTTATTAGCTAATATTAAGGAGCCACCACGTAATTTAGTATCTCTATTGAAAGAACTGACCACCTGGTGATTACTGAAATTAAATATGCAATTTTAATCTTTCAACCAATCTTCAGTAATACATAAAATATGTATATTGTTACTATTTAAAAATAATTCAATTTCTAATTCTTTGCCTTGTATATTTTGATGCACCAGGTTGATACAGTTTTTATTATTGCTATTTTGTGAAATTGCATAATTATGTATTGGTAGGTTGCTTTCTAAGCTATTTAAATTATCTTTGCTGGAGATTACCTCTATTGTCTTATTATCTAATTTAAACTACTTGGAACTGGTTCCAAATCAAATGTAAAATTATTGACCTGCTCAAAAAAAGCCGGTGTCAAGGTAGCCAAATCATTGGCTGAGTTAAAATATAAATAATAAGATAGCGTATTTGCTACCAGTCTTAAACTATACTTTGATAGGTAGAATAAGAGTGAATTATTGTCACTGGTTACTGAGTTCAAAGACTTTCTTTCTCAAATTTCTTGGACTGACGAAAGCACGTCAGCATGGCAGCCATGCTGCAGCTATATTAGTAGTATGGTTGTAGCACAAATGGGTCGGCTCGATCGGGGCAGGACCACGCTCTCACAGAATACCAGCGTAAAAGCTTAACACAGCTGTGTTTCGTATGGTGAGTGTAGAGAACCGGAGACCTTTTTTACTGGAAAAGAGGCATTCCATCTTAATCCTCACGGGTGACAACGCAT